CTTTAAGCCCTAGTTTTGAAAATGGACTCTGAAGCTGTGTTCTGATCTACAGCTACATGCCTAAAGCACTGGTGTTATGTTCAACAGTTTGTGGCAACCAAGCCACACACTTTTTACATTCTTTAACTTGATAATCTCTAATTATTCTGGCTCAGAATTCCAGTGAAATGGGATTCAGAGTAATTTTAGGGATGTCATTCTTTATTTTAATATTGTCTAATTTAAAAGGAAAATATTTCAGATAATAACAACATATTTTGAGGGGAAAAAAAAAGAATGAAAACCATTTCTGTTCCAAAAATTGCTGATATGAGAATTTATGGGGAAACAGCTCCTTTTATGAATAATTATTATTATTGTGTTTAAGAAATGGGCAAGATGCCTAGAAATTGAATGAAAGAATGAGCTATTAAATTGAAATATTAAATGAAATAACTGAATTAAAAGTGATCATGTAAACCCAGCAGTAAGTGTTGGGAGCTGTAGCTGATTGAACATATTTTCATCATCTGTTTTGTATGCTTAAATACAATTGCTTGATGTAAGTAAACACTTGATTGATATTCTGAATACTTTAAAATCTGCATATGCATCATGGAATACTGAACAATTAAAACTTAATTTCAGTGTAGTTTGATTACATGTAAATTATATCAATATTCATTTTTTCCTGTTCCGTTTGCTCAGTGTATATTTAATATCCACCTTTTGAATGCGTATCACTCTTGATTGGACTGTGAGATGAGGAGGACTCTGAAATTTCTTCCATTAAAAAGGATTGCCTTATAAATATTATTTGTGCCACAGCTCTTCCCCTGCAGATTATTTTCTAAATGTTGTGTACTCTTATTGAAGACAAGGAAAAAAACTGCTGCAGCCCTCCTTTATCAGCCCAGCACAAGGAATATGCTTACATGGTCGATGAGCATGTCTAAGAAGGCTTGTTGGTTGTAACTAGTCCCTAAAGAAATGTTTCCATCTTTTCTGCACTATATTTCTTGCTTGCATGAGCTCCCTTTCCCTTCCCTTCCTCCTCCCTCCAAATGATTTTTTTTTTTTCTGGCTCCTGGAGGTCTTAAGAGGCGTTTTAATTTTATGGCTAAATATTGCAAGTATTTTCAAGTTGACCATTTTCAGCATGAGAAATGTATCTCTAAGTGACCACATCCAATTTAGCTGTTGTGGAATACACAGGATAAAATTTTACCTTTTGATATATTTGTAGAACCTCTCATAAAAACCAAAGAGACTTCTTTTCCCATCTCTGCAGACTGCAATCCACGCACATTGTTTCGACCAACAGTATTTGAAATTATTTGTGGACATCCAACAGGAGGAAACACTGGCCATTTGATTCTCTTTTTATTTATACCAGTGAACAGGATAGCCTCTTGGAAGTTGCAGATAACATATTTTTTTGCTACTTATATATTTTATTTAAAATTTGAAGGCTTTCCTGGCAGCTTGTCAGTTAAGTCATATCCCAAAATACAGGCAGGCGTCAGGTCTGCCACTTCACCGAGGAAGGCAGGTTTGGATTCTTCTCTGCCTTGGCCATTTTTGACCTGCATGACTTCTGTCATACCACTCACATTTCCCCTTGATTTCCTTGTCCACACTAATAACCACTTTTTATATTTTTGTAGAATACAGGGAAACATTGCATACGTGAATATAATAACACTATTATTTTATTATATGAGAATTTGAAGTTAGTATTGTATATACTAAATGGCTTGCAGGGAGATGTTTTCCTGTATGTCCTACATAGTTAATTGCAGTTTGAGAGTTTTATTCTTGAAGGTCATATTTCTGTTGCCTGTCACTTTGACCAAACAAGTGGCTGAACTTCATGGTTTGTAGGCGGATTTCCTTATCTCTCTTTTTCAAGAGTCTTGATTGCTTGAGTTATTGTGAAACAAGAAGTAAGTTGCAAGGTGGAGGAAGGGGTGGGAAGACACCAGGGCCCTTTAGATTCCATTTTAGGAAGCAAATATTGTGCCTTGTGATTGTGGCACAAGAACAAAAGGGAGTGTTTTGCTTGGGTTTTTTTTCTTTGTTTGAGGAGCTGATAAACTATAAGTGAGTGTGCTAACAACAGCAGGAGGTCCTCCCATGACAAAACATGCTTTATAAAACAGACATTATTGGCTTAGGATTATTCTCATGCTGTATAGACCTCTCTAATGGTTCTTGTACATGAAAACCAACACAACATTCATACCAAAGAGCTTCAAAATAACCATTATCTTCTAGTAAAGCTAGGTTAAAAAACCCTGGACATTCTTGACTGATTTAATACTGTCTGCCTTAGTAATGCAAACTTGTCACTCGTCTTTAAAACCTTCACCTTATTTTAAAGTAATTCCATTTATAATAAATTATGAAGTAACTGGGACTGTTATTTCCAGTTCTTGGTTTGTGAAGAGCATTTCTTGGATACTCTTTATTCCCCCTTTTTTTTCCTTGGTACAGATCTGAAAATAATGAGCTAACTTCACAGTTTTATGAATAGGGGCCATAATGGGACTGAAGTATGTATGCTGATTAAAGGGGAAAAAATCTGAAATCTTTGTGAAACTACAAAGGAATGACAGCTAAGGCTGTTCTGCGGTAAAATCAAATGAAAGAGTTACTTTACATTTTTTGGTTGCAGACATTTTTGCCTTGGCTAAATCAAATGTCATTCAAATAGTCTGTACAATCATAACTTTGGGAAAACAAAATAATGATAGACATTCTTTTTAGCTGGTCATATAGCTGGTTTCTATTTGATTTTCAATTTCCCCTCCAAGTACTAAGAATGTGTATTTAATCTGTAATGAGAAAAAAAAAGTGTACCAGAAAAAAAAAGATAACTGTTCAAGATAAACTTATTTTAACATATACTTATTTGTCTTAATTAAAGCATAGCTTCAGAAGCAGCATTAAAACACAACAGATTTTAATGGAAAAACCTTCATAGGAATGATGTTGTAAAGCTTCAAACACCAATGATAAAGTGGGGGTGCACTGCCTGTCCCCCTGTGATCAAGAGGTTAACTTTAATTCATCTCCTCCCCTCCCCTCCCTTAAACTGGTTCTGTGAGGAGGGCTGCAAATTAGTACTTGGAAGACACAGCAGGGAGATTAGCTGAAGGGAGGAAAGGGAAGGACTCCCCACTCCAGCTCTTAGGAACCTCACCTGGAGAGTGCATTTCCTTTTCGACTTAAGCTAACGTATTATGCCTTCTTGTCACGAATGTTATTCCTTGAAGGAAAAGTCCTCTCTGGTTCTATCTTGCAATCTGCTGAATCACTCCAAATGTGCGGTGGAAGGGAGTGATAAGGCTGTAACGAGAGGGAGGCAGAAAACCGCTGAGGCTTTTGCCAGAAACGGGAATCCCGATATGGTGCCTCTTATGGGACTCCTTTACCCACCAAGGGGAAGAAGGATTCCTGTCTCTCCTGTTCTTCACACCGTCCTGAGGAGGAGCTACATCACTGCCCACTGATTCCTAAGATACCACCAAGGCACAGAACTGTGTAAATTCTGGTATCCATGTGATGTTGCCTGACAGTATTCATTTGGCAAACACAGACCCTGAGAAATCACAATGCTGCTTTTTGCCCCGGTCATCTACTCCCTAAGCTTCAAGTATCTACAACTCATACATTGTTGAAATATAACAGGTGAAAAGGGGGATAATTTACCAGTAATGGGAAGTACGGAAATCATTTTACAAGGAATCGATCTTTTGCCTCCCAAGTGAAATAAAACTGGGGTATTTTACTGTTTTGCATTTCTGAAAATGATCCCCAAATCTGTTTTCGTAGGTAATTTAAAACAGTTAAAAATATGCAATAGAAGAAAATGTGTACAAATAGAATCACTTTCTCATAGTGTATTGTCACATAATAGTTATCTACATCTAGTATAAGAGAGTCATTAGCCCAGTGCAGAGTTTTCCATTGGGAATGGCATTTGCCAGTGCCATGTTGTACATATATATATCCTCAGAAAGCTTCTGATGGATGGTTTGTTTCCTCCTACTTCTGTGGAATTCCAAAGGATTACAAGCAACGGGATATATACAGCCTTGCACACGCCCCATGTGGGTATTTGCTGTAATTCCCAGGAGATTGTGTGTGGTGTCTGGGTAGGGAGAAGGTGTCAGTCTGTCACCACAAATGGAAAGAGCTGTTGTTCAGCAAGTTAACACACCAAAGGAATGGTCTCAGTGTGCCATGGAATAGCCTTCCTGGCTTAACTATAAAGGTGAAGTTCCACATCCACACTGCCCCTTCCTACTCCACCACATCTCTGTGTGATACTGAGGTGGTGCCTTCTAGAGCACATCTAGGAGTAACTTTTGCTTGTGCTTTTTGCTCTTTTCCCCCTAATTTTATCTCATTGACACAATCTTCTTCACCACAGAATCTCAGAATACTCTCAGGAGTCTGTGCCAGTACTGGGCTAAGGTAGTTATGAGACAAAACAGTGTCACCCCCTGCCTTTTCAGTCCCTAAGGATTCATGACTCTTTAGGATGACTCGACTGGATTATCATCTTCAGAAAGCTGTATTGAGGGGTCTGCAAGGCCAGAACTCAATACAAATTTCTATTAGGACCTCCAAAGTCACGTGAGATTTGGGATTAGTACTTTCTGTGGAGGATTTTGAGGTTCCTACCAGCATTTATCTATATTGTGGCTGGTATCTTTGTAAAGGATTGATTTGTTATGATCTACAGTTTGGCTTCCTTCAGACTCAACTAGATCTGATAGGACTCAACACTGAACATAACACTTCCTGAAGGTTTTAAACAATGAGGAAGGCTAAGGAGTAGCCACTGTCCTACCTCACAGTTCTGCAATCTGAATATGAGCCTATCAAGTTTCCCTAAAAAAGCTTTATCCTCGCTTTTTATGAGGATTGCAGGACTTCGTCTGTCCATTAGCAATATTTGATGCAGCTCTTAAATTAACCTCAGCAAGTGACATGTTTCCTTTTTCTTTCAGGTATCAAAGGTTTGAAAAAGCGTTTCTGCTTGCTGTCGACATAGGGGCTCGGGACCTGTTTATGGTGAGTCATTTCTGGAGACAGAGGCTGTTGTCAGGATGTTAAAATAGTTCCGTGTCATTTGCAGTCCTGGACACATACTGAAGACAGAACTGTTCTATCTGCTTTGCCCTTTGCCATCATGAAACTCATCAGCAGGGATTAAGTATCTTTAGAGTAATTGACATTTTCCCCAGCATGGCCTACAGGCTATCCTTTATTTTTCAAGAATTGTTGTATATGTTTTTTAACTTTCACCTTCTTCATCTGACCTGATGTGGGTGAATGTCATCTTTCACTCTAATAAGCTTATACATTTCTAATGTGTTCCTTTAAGTCCAACTGCTGAGTCCTGGACACAAGAGCTGTCCATATCCTGGGGATCCTGAAATCTCCTAGTTTTTCTCTTAGGGTTTTGTGAAAAGTGACAAATTATGAACGCCTCTGCTGGTACTTTTAAAACAACAAAGCTCAGCAGCATCAACACAAGGGTTTTAACATTTTATGCACTCTCTGCCCCCTCCCATTTAATTAGCTACAAAAGTAAAATTAACCAGCTCTTAAAAGGTCCTCTGTGTGAGCTCTGCAGGAGGTTCTTGTTTTATAAGATCGTGCACCACAATGTCACAGTGAGGTCAGATGGACAAAGCCAATCGTGCTCTCCTAGTCTCTCAGCATGTTGCTGCTCCACAGCTGATTTCATTGTTTTCAAAGAAACAATAGGAAAGGGCTTGTTGAAAAAAAAGCCCTTTGAACGATTCGTTTGCTTGACTCTTTTGCATAATGAAGACATTCTGTTGTTTAAATTAAGCTTTGACACTAGATGTTAATATCATTTATCCCATTAAGTCACTTGCCCTGCTAGTTTGATCTTGATATTTAAATTGTATGTTAAATTACACAATTAAATCCTGCTTTTAGGGGTTATGAAAATTCCCTTCTAATTATATAAAAAGTTGTGTGAACCTTTTGATGTTTTTTTCACAGCTCTAATCATCTGGCTTGTTCCATCTAATTAGAAAGATGTGAATATTGCGATAAACTTTCCTAAGTATGCATCAAAAGAATGTGATGGAAATGTCAGACTTTTAGGAAATTCATTACATGTTCTGTGTTTACTCTCCTCGATTTTTCCTCTTTTTAGATCATCTTTTTCCTTTTCTCTTTTTGTTGAACATAACCTCTTCAGTACAAATTTTATACCTAATCAGTCTAAGCACTGCCATAGCCACATATAAGATTCAGACTGTAGGATGTCTGGAGCAGCTTTTTGTTGAGGGCTCTCCCACTGTACAGCTGATAAATTCTCCCTAAATTTAGCCATTCTGGCAGAATAAATGACCCCACATTTGGCCTGCCATCTAAAGGGCCCTCTTTCATATGACTGTGAGCATTTCCCACGTGATCTTTTTCCTTCCCTCTGCTGGCAGCAGGATTGAGGGAGGACCTCTGTCCTGGGTGGGGAGAAACACCAGTGTTGGGTCATGAGATGGGTGCACAGCTGCTAACAAGAGGGAGGGACTGTCAGTTCCTAGCTCCACAGGGGATATCACGTTCTACTCTCAACAAAAAGGTCCTCAAACTTCTTCAAGAGGAGGTTTAATGTTCACTGAGAAATTAACTCTATCCTTTCCTACTTTTTCCTTTCCTCTCTCAACACCTACTCTTCATTTCCCATCCTACCAATACCCTTCATCATAAATATATATTTCCAAAGAGTTCCTCCTGGCTTATGTTACTGTGAGATCAAAACCAGTTCTTTAATGTCCTTGTTCTACTTGCATTACCTTTGAGATTCCTCATAGTTTCCCCTAAATTATGCAACAAGCAGCTCACATACCTACCTCCTCTGGGGAAATGTGCTTTTGCTAATTCATTGTCTAAGTAAGTTATAATGAACAAACTTTACAATAAGCTAACAGTGGCACTACTGCAGGGCCACTAAGTACAGGACTCAAGAAGTTTAAATGCATAGGTCATTAAGAGTATTTATTTGTGACATGGTAATTTCTAGGGAATTTGGTTTCATTGTGCTTAATACTGTGAAAATTAGGTAGCCTGTTCCTTGAAACCTTACAGTCCTTCGAGGTATTAATATAACAATACTACTGCTAAGCAAGGTTTGTGCATCCCTCACTTCTGCTTAAAACTGAATGATTCCTGTATATTGTTTATATAAATCAAAATGCAATTAATAATGTACAACTTGACTTTACATATGTTTAAAGCCTTTTTATCCATTTTTAAAACCTCACATGGCTCTAGGAGTCACATCACCTTATTTTAGTTAATTAATGGGATTTCAAGAAGAAATAGTAGTCTAAATAAAAATATCTGGTGGCATAGGCAAAATGAGAAAGAGAAAAATCTGTTTATTAAAGGACAACAGAGAAGGAACCAAAAAGAAAGGATAGAGATGAGCAGATATAACATAGGCTGAGGAGGATGCACACATTGAATAGCCATCATCTGAAACTTCTCAGAAAATGTCCTATATCTTGGAGAGTTTATCCCGAGCATCTCTTTCACTGAGCAGGACTCTGCATTATTGCAAAGAAGTTTGAGGAAATGCTGTCTGAGGGCTAATTTCTTTCATAGAAATTAAAAAGAAAAAAAAAAAAGAAGGCTTAGAAGTCAGTCCTATGGCTATAGCGTCACTGGTATGATGCCATAACAAGACACATATGCACTGCTGTGTCTCTCCACAAGCTTTACCCTCACGTCACATCTAAGTCCATCAATTAATATCATCTCCTACAAAGTTCAATAAAAAAATAATACTGAAAGGGACATAATATCATGAACAACAGCTCCATTTATTGGACAGTGACTGATCCAATCTGTGACAGAAAAGATCAAGCAGTGGAAGGGTTGTTAGCTTGAAATCCTTTTATAGTAGGTTCCAGCTCTCAGCTGCTGAAAATTCAAAAGGCCATCCCACGTACCAAAGGTAGCAAAAAAAAAAAAAAAAAAAAAAAAAAAAAAAAAAGAAAAAAAAAAAAAAAAAAAAAAAAAAAAAAAAAAAAAAAAAAAAAAAAAAAAAAAAAAAAAAAAAAAAAAAAAAAAAAAAAAAAAAATAGCAAGGAAAAGACACTTTAATAAAACTGTCAGATCTTGGGTGATACACTGATGAGGAAAGTGCATGTTTCGAAGAAACGTTGGAGTGTTGCCCAGAAATATCCTATAGACAAATGCACATCAGTGTTTCAAATGACTTCTGCTCACCAACGGCCAGCTCTGTGAGTCACAAAGGTGAGGATAAAAAAGGAAGTAGTCCAAAAAGTAAGCAAACTGTTAAATGATAAAATTCAGCCCCTTCAGCAAGCTCCTGATGAGCAGCTGGAAATTGTTTTTATTGTCACCATTGTTTTCGAGAAGGATGTGATCTTTGGACTGATAAATTCTTAGGTAACTGTGTGAAAAAAAAAATCTGTCATGAATGTTCAGGTAATTTAATTCTCTTTTTTCTGTCATACTTTAAAGCACCTTGTAGTCTGGTGTTCCTTCTTTCTCTTTTTTAATTTTCTATTTTAATTCTACTCACAGAGTTATAAATTCATAGAAAAATCCAATTTTGCTTGTTTATTTGAATGAGAAACACTTAAATTTGATCTGAAATGGTCTAATTAGGAGATTTTATTTTGGTAATCTTTTCTTTCTAAGGCTTGTTTAGAGAGGAGACAAAAGCTACTTTTTTTAAATTCTTCTTTCTGACAGCAACTTGAGGAATAACAAAGCAAGCCACTTACCAACCTACCACTAACCTTTGTTTCTTACAAGGCCCCTGTTAGTCAGTGATGGATATGTGGCATCTTTACATTTCTTTACCCGAAACAGAAAACAGGCAAAAACAAGGTCTGAAATAACAGCTGCTTTGACACCCACAGAATGCACAACCTCTTCGCTGACAGAAATTCTTCATTTTCTGCAGCTGTTTCTGTCCCTTCCCCAAGTTTATTATTTAAGATCACATGGAGGTGTGCAGTACTGCTCAGAGTTTAAACTACAAAAAGACAGTCATTAAGCATTGTCAGAATGTATTTTAAATGTCTGCCTGTGCGTTCAAATCTCTGTAAGTTCAGACTTGTCCAAGAGCCCTTGGGTTTTCTATTGTTATCTAAATAAGCTGACAATATCTGCTGTTTAATCTTCATAGAAGTCATTCCTTGCTACTCAGGCCCTTTTCTCCCGACACCCATGTTAGACCTACAGAGAGAGGAAATACAGAGTTCGCCAAAAGTTCGTAACTCATTACTTTGCTCCAAGACACTTGCACATTTTTTAAATCACACCTGTATTTGTGATGAGAAAAGGCTGCTGTCTCCTGCAGTCTGTGGGGATGCTGAAAGTCAGTTCCAGGCTTTCTTGCATAATCAGTCTCAGTTTCCCTAACATTCTCAGTTTGTTTTGTTTTGTTTTGTTTTGTTTTAATTGCTGTTACTAAATGAGGGGTTAATAAGGGCAGCATGTCTTTCTGCTAACACTTTTACTCTCACTTTTTTTCATGTAACTTCTCTCTGGAGACTAAAGTCACTTTTCCTGTAAGAGTTTCTGTCATATTGATGAAGATGACAGTAAATTCACACCAAGAAGGACAATTTCACCTGAAATCTTCTGCACTACTGAGAATACAGTTGCTTTTATAGTATGCAGAGGTCAATATTTCCAGCAAATACTCCTTTTCCCTTCAAATTCCTGCCTGTAGATGGATTGCAGAACAAAGGAATGACTCAAACCTCTGGATACCAAATGGCATCTTCAGCAATGAAGTACGGGGAAAAAAAATTGCCGAGTGTTCTTGGATTACCCTCACTTTCTGTGTTACAGTTCATGCACAGAGCAGCATGATGCTAAATGAGAAAGGGATCAATTGTCTCTTTATTAATGTTCAAGAATGAAACTTTAGTTCAGTGGCCAAAACCAAGGGTGGTGAGACAGTAATTTGTCAGCAGGAATGTATTCTTCAACAAATAGTGTTTGTGTTAGTACTGGTGGTTTTCACCTCAAATATTAACACAAAATAAAAAACCTTGACTTTTGACAAGGTCATGTAGGGATAGCACAAGGGATAATGACTTTAAACTCTAAGAGGGCAGGTTTAGGTCAGATATTAGGAAGAAATTCTTCCCTGAAAGGGTGGTGAGGCACTGGCACAGGTTACCCAGGGAAACCCCATCCCTGGAAGTGTTCAAGGCCCCGTTGGACAGCGCTTGGAGCAACCTGGTCTAGTGGAAGGTGTCCCAGCCCATGGCAAGGGGTTGGAACAAGATGATCTTTAAGGCCCCTTCCAGTCCAATAATTCTATAATTACATGTAACAATACACCCCTGATGCAGCCCTCTCATTTTTGACCCTAAATGAAGGACTAGATCCAGTGTATTAACAGTTATTCATGCTAGACAGCACCATTTTTGGAAAAGCCTTTGTTGTCCAGGAGTGACTCAGGAATCATGTCAGCTGGGTGGATGTTAAAATCACTGAGCAGTTACTGTCGTTCCTATTAGCTGCAATATCAGCACAAGGAGGACCACCATCACCTTACTCAAAGAACAGTGAGTGAACATGACAGCCTTCAAACAAAAATTAGTGCCTGCAGATCTTAACCCCAAAATTCATGTACCAGGTGGAAACCTTCGAAGCATAAAATCATTAAGATTGGAAAAGACCCCTGAGATCATCAAGTCCAACTGTTAACCCGTTAGTGACAGGTCCACCACTAATCCATGTCTCTACACACCACATCTACTTTTAACATGTTTCAAATACAGGCTGTCAACCAGAAGAGTTCCAATACCTCAGGTCTGATTTACACAGAGCCACCTCCTATCAACCCTCTTTTAATTCATGTTGCACCAACAGACCTTACTTCAAAAGTAGATTGGTTTCTTTCATACACTGAGTCAATAGTTTCACTTTTATTAGTGCCTGATTGGTCAGTGTTTTATTCATTGCTGTATTCAACACCACAAGTAAGATAATAAATTTGCATTGGGAGGGAATTAAAATGTAATGGTAGGTTCATCGGTTCCATCTGTGTTTGTGATCTAAGTAATAAAAGAACCTCTTTCTTTCAAAATCCCTTTTGTTGTTCCTATTGAGATTCATTTTAGATTAATCTCTTTTTTTCTGCTTTATTTCCAAAGGACATCCATTACCTTGCTCTAGATAAGGGTGAATTGGCACTAGCTGAAGTGGCAAAGAGAAAGGCTAATGACATTGATGCAGAATCAATAACTACTGGAATTGGTAAGAATTAATGGTGTTTAAAAAGCCCTTTTTGTTTTAATCAATACTTGTCCTGTAGAACATGGTGTTATATTTGTAGGGGGGGGTATTGTTTTGATTGCAGTGTTTTCTTTGAAAGTGAGACTGTATTTTTATTTGTAACTAAAGGACTGGATTTTTATTCATAACTAAAGAAAGAGGCTTATAAAAATCAACATCAACTCCCAAACTTTGCCTTTCAGTACCCGTGTGAGGATAGCTATGAAGCAAAAAAGATTTATACTATGGCTATATAGAAAAGTTCAGGCTGTACAAACTGAACTGTGTGTGAGAGGTAAGGGATTGAATCTGAAAACTGTTGTTCATGTCAGCATTAAAGGCCATGTGTGGCAATCTCATTCACCTGCAGATATTTGCTGGTGCACACTATATGAATAACGGGAGTCACATCCATCATTATTGGCAGCATTCGGATGGAACACCTACTGGTGTCAACACGGCCTCAGATCCTGGCTTTAAAGCAACAGCTTAGCTTGAAGTGGGATTCTTGCTGTTCCATAAGGAATATTTATGCAAAAGTTGAAGCATTAGATTAATTGCTAAATCACAGACAACTTTTCAGGCAGAGGAACGCGTAACTCATTCACTTTCTCCTTGTGTTTCTTCTGAACTGACGCGAAGAGGTACATGTGAACATTTCAGACCATTCTGATTTCATGCTCTATATCATGAGCCAAGCAGAAGGTATCTGTGTTCAGGGAGCTGACCTCCATCAGAGAGAAAGTAGACAAAAGATTAAAAAAAACCAAAACCACAAAAAGTTTGTATAAAATGTGCGCAGTTCTGTGTTGTTTATTCTTCTGCATCTTTGAATATTAGAGGAAATCACTGAGCTTTTGTTCTTGGTCCATGCCAATAGGTAAAATAGGTTTAAAACTCAGAAGTGTTTTTCGTGAGTCAGAGTCACAAAACCTTTGAGATCTTGGGTAACACAGGATTCTTTTAGAAATTTACATCTCCATGTTCACCCAGAGCATACAAACAAATGCCACTACAGTACATACAAATGCAGAGAGGCATTATATGCATTTATGTGGCTATTTCTATAGATTGCATAAATCCATGACTTTCAAGGTTATTCAATACAGTATCACCTCCTTCCCTCTCCAGCAGAGTAGGAATCAAGCAGTGCCTGTCCCGAACTCTTTTTTTCAGGGTTTTTAATTTTCACGCTCAAGTAATTTCAATCACTTTTTCCACCACAACTGGGCCTTTGGTCAATCCCTTTCACCACCAGAATTCCAAAAATGAACATTTGTTAAGTTCTTTCTTTACAGGACACTCTTAAAAGTGTACAGTTACATCTCCTTTGCTTTCTCTTCTCTTACTGCTTAGGTATTTGTCCACTGCACCAAATATAATGGAGATACCTAGGGCTTACTTCTGATCGTTATCTATTCTCTGACACTTAATCTAGAAGATCTAAAATCTAGTATGTGTCTTTAATTCCTTTCAAACTACCATTATTACTAGATTTCTGAAGTTAGGCTATTTTTAAGTTTACTAAGAGCCTTTTATACTATTGTAGACTTATGTGCAGGGAGAGGGACAGGGAAAAATACTGAAGTGATCACAAATGTTTTACTTGCATATCAAATGTAATACACGTGTTGCTACAGTTCATTATAAGTGTGCAGACACAAAGTCTTCCCCTCCTCCAGACCAGTCCTACAGTTACCTCTTCAACGCCCATTAGCATAAATTATTAAAGTCATTTTGTATGATAAAGTGTTTTGCTGAATAATTAACTATCAGAATGATTTAAAATAGTTTTCAATGCCCCCAGGGACAAACTGTCACTGAGATTCAGTCTCTGAACACTAATGAATTTTCATCCAATTCATTTTGTATGAAAATAATCAGGAATCTCCCATGAGTTTGTTTCACTGCAGATTGGATCTCACCTTGAACATGTGAAATCTCAGCCACAGGTTTTGTTTTATTATAGTTTATTCCAGCATCCTTTCTTTATGGTGCTATTATTTCATAAATTGTTGTCAAAAAAGATGACATGAGGTATGAACTTTGTGAATCCAATGAAAACAAAAGATAAGAAGTGCTTTATATGGAACTTACTATATTTTTCTAATATTTTGAAGGGGGGGGTGAGGAACTCATGCCAGAGCCAGAAGTTTTAAAATGCAGTTTCAAATGAGTCTCTATCCCCTAACCATTTCCCAAGCCCAGTCCTCTTTGTCTAGTCCCTGCTCTCCCGAGCCTTCAGCCGATCAGTTCACCAATGGTCACTTCCCAGATCAACCCCCAAACTTCCTGATACCCACTTCAAGCAAGAAGACAGTAATCTAAGCAAACAGGGGCAACAAAGTGCAGTCAGTGCTACTGAGGTTATTATACTGGACACCTCTCTACAGCATATTTCAAATATATATATTACAGTATAATATTTGATCTTAAATAGTACAAAAGCAAACCATTCTCATGTATCTGAGGAAATTTCCTGAGTTTGCCCATCCCCAAAACTCAGCTCAGCACTACTTGAAAATAAGGTGAGTCATTGCTCCTGGCTAATTCCCAAGCCTTTGAAAGTGCTCCATCTTGCCCCAGATATGTTTAATTTGTCAAGATACTTCTGTGTTCAGGGCTCACTTCAAAGATAATATATTTCAAACTCAGACTTTAGGAAAAGTTTCAAACTCCTACAAATAATGCAGAATGACAATATAATTTCATCTGAAAAGTATAGATATCACCCAGAGGTCTGAATCATTGGTAAATTCCTCACATATGTTATCTCAAAAATTTGTGTCAAGGTAAAACTAAAAATAGATTGATTATTTTAAAAATTTCTGAATTTTGGCTTTTCTCAGTTCATCCCATGATTTGTAGTTTGGTAGACACCATTTTGAAGGAGCCACCCTCAAAGCTAAGGGTGTTTGTGGGCATGTGGTAAAAACACCTGTAGACCTCCAGAGCACAGTAGTTTGATGAGAATATTGCTGAGCAAGATGAAGTGTCAAGTGAACTATGGTTTTGGCAGAATCAGATATTTTGTTCACCTGATTAAAATCTTCTAAAGAAAATTATTCTCATAAGATTTTATGTTTGACAGCCTGTGAAAATGCATCTTGAGGGATGAGAAGATTGAAGTAATGGTCCTGCACATCTCAGAAATCTGTCTCCTCTTTCCCCGCTCCTATTTGATCAGCAGACCACTGGCCATAGATACTGTGGTTTGTTCTGCCAAAGATTTGCTCTTGAATTATTTCTGTAGCAGACTCATGAGTTCCTTAATGAGATCAGGGAGTTCTCATTTAGCCTTGCCTAAAATGTATACTGTGCGCCTCATTTCACTTGATTAAAAGAGAGAATAAATATTTATTCAATATTGACAATATATGTAGGCTACTAATAAATTCTGTTTGTGGGTGTAACCTGGCATACACTCTCCTGGAACAGTATTGTTTGTGGTGCTAGAGTGTGTCTGCTCGGTGCTGTAAACTGGAGGTTGCTAATGTAAAACCTGAGTTGCAAAGAACTGACATGGCACAGCCTGTTAAGAAATGCCATAACTAATAATGATCATGGAGGTGAAGAACTCAGCCCTTCAGACATCATTGCTCAATGAATATCCAACGAAGAGCATATGTAGGCAGTGTCAGAAAGTTTCCCAAGGCCAACTTCCAACAAATTACATTAGGGCCTAGAAAGATGATTTTAACCTTCAAATCAACAGCTTTCACCCAAAAGGGATTCATGTTGTGACAAGACGGATAACTGCTGCATAGTTGAAAGGCAAATTGGGAAACCTTGTATTTCTACTTAGAAAATTCAGAATATTAGGAACACTAATGTTTGGGCAACATTTCTAACAGAGGTATCTGAACAAAAACACTGATGTTCAGATAACTGTAGTGTTCTGAAATGCTAGATGGGACTGACTAACATTTTAGTGGTTCACTAGTGTCTCCTGAAAGTGCTTGAAGTTTTCCCATTTAAAATAGAATTTTAAAATATTTCTGGAAATATTCCATAATGTTTGCAAGTGAGATAGGAAATCTTATCAGTTCTCACAGAGACTGAAGCCCAATTTCCCACACTGTTTGTAAAATGACATTCATAATGAAGGAACCCAACATGCTTCACCTTATTGGCAAGGAACATCATCAGTTTGAACCCTAAGTGGAGAATATATTGATTTCATCTGAGTTCTGTGGTAGTGTTTTATATTGAATGGTTTACATGGTCTTTGTGATAATTAATAATGACACATGCTATGGTGTTTTGTCTTCCATACAGTGTATCAGAGATACCAGTCTGGACTTGCACACAGTCTGTTACCTCCAAATCACTTGTTGTTTACTCAGACCTTCCCCTGTTTCTGACAGTCCTGGGGAGCCTGCTTGCATTTGAAGACCATGTTTTGATTTGTCCTCCTGTAACCTTCTCTGGCCCTGCATTAGCGTAGTTGGTAACATTTCTTCTTCTTCTGATCCATGAAGATTCCTTCCATCTCTCGAGCAATAGACTTCTCCCTTATCCTCACATACCCTCTCTGACACTGATGGCAAAACCTTCTTCATTTCCTGCTCTTCCTTGGCACACACATCCTTCTCTTGTCATCTACTGAGTTTCATGTTAACTGAGAATCTTAGCCTTTATTTCATGGCATGATTTCTATTTCTCTGTGTACCGTGTTTATGGCACGCTTCAAAGGTATTCTCCCGTACACGGGTGAGCTGTGATCTAGAAAGACTTGGGGGACACCTGTTTATGCTACACCTCTTCATGTTTTTTGGAACTCTGCTCCCTTTAGTGTAGGTGTTAGATCTCCTATCTATTTATTTAGATTTTCAGTTTAAGTCCTTCAAAACCTCTGGATTCAAATCCTTTGCTTTTATTTTTCTAACAATATGACTTTTTCACCAGAGAGCCAGAAAAACATTTTTAATGAAAAATGTTTTTTAAGTATGATTGACAGTTCACCTATGGCAAGAAATTAG